CACAGACGTTGTGTTATTTTTCTTTTAGTTGTTTTCGAAAATTGGCGAGCGCGTGAGAACGAGCGCGGAGCGCGAGAAAGAAAAATAAAGAACGTCTGTAGACATCTTTGGGTAAAAAGAGGTTTCTTATTCCCTCCCCGGTGTCACCTCATCATTATCACCTCCGCGTTCGCAGTACCAATTAAATTGGACGAATGGAATTGGAGATATAAGTTGCTCGTGTAATTTTGCAATCAAATAACAATGACATTCGGAGTCGAGTGTTTGTTGAAGCATCTATTTTTGCGTCTATTTTCTTCTTTCCCTAGCACTACCCCCTTGCGCTGGCGGTCAATAATATAAATCCCCTGTGCTTTATATTTTATCACCCGCTTTCGAGTGACTTTAAAGAGAAAATAGAGGGTCTCTGAACAGGTTATAAAACGGTAAGGGGTTGGACCGCGAGGCGGAGCCTGTCCCTGTTAAGTGAACACATTCGTATGAAACTCGTATGTATTAGAATTGGGTATAACAACTACTACATCAACCACTTGAATGGTGTGTTATAAAGTCAGCGTTTGAGTTGAATCGGTCATTCACGGCGCGTAATTACCTGACAAGGGTACTCATTTTTGATCATACGAAACAATGAAGCTAAAAGGTCTAGAACTATCACAGTTTCTTTAATAAATCGTATTATCCACATGATACTTGATTTATCCGTTTGTTTCCAACAATGTTTTTTCATTATACAGCGCCGAGTTATATTAAAAAAAATAGAGGTAGTATATTGCTGAGATATACCGACGCTTGTTGTTTTTGATTAAAATCTTTGGGAATTCATTGCCTGTATTATACTCAGCTCTGTGTTTGTTTTTATTTGAAACTAGTTCTTATTAAGCCACGTACAAACGGACACAATATTGTTGGCCAACGACTCCCAACATTGTTGGATGTTACATGTTGCGTCCGTTTGCACTCCCTGTTGCATGTTGTTGGATGTTGTTGCGTGTTGTTGCGCAAAGTTTGAAACCGGTCAAACTTTTCAGCCAACAACTCCCAACAGTTTCTTTTGATCCGTTTGCACAGCTCTTCCAACACTGTTGGGGCTACGCACGCCCATTACGCATGGTTTACAAAGACGTATGGGTTGTATCCTTCCCACGATGCAGTGCAGGTCCCAACATTGTTGGGAGTTGTTGCATCCGTTTGCACACCACTGCCAACACGCACGCAACAACTCCCAACATTGTTGGAGCAAAAATGTTGGGAGTTGTTGCGTCCGTTTGCACGCAGCCTTAGAATGAGCAGGTTTTGAATTATAGTCACACATATGGATAAAGCTGAAGATAAAAAACAAGCTTAAAAATACAACATAAATCAACTATGTACTTAATACATCAGTCTCCCTTTTGTCTCGTCACGCAACGTTACTCCTTTTTCAATCTTACAATCTTGAAGACCACTGTGTTATCCTAAACTGAGATACAATAGATTATTTACAACCTTTCCAAACTCTTGATCTTTCTACATGGGGCCGCACTTCACTTCCAATATGGAACCTCTTTTTTTCTATTTTCAATATTTTCTTGTCTGTGTTGTCACTGACTACATCAAAGAGCTGTCAACTCGTCTTGCAAAACGCAGGCAAAGTGAGGTCAAGTGCTCACGAAGATCCTGAAAGGGCACTTGGCCTAAAGTGCGTAAGGAGTCAAAGAAGCCGCGAAATAAGAAACGCAACCGGTCATAAGTGAGTTAAGCACATTCCTTAAAATTAACAAATCTAGGGAACAGTTTCTTTTACGGTTAACTCTTTTTACCCTATTTACGGCTAACGTTTTTTAAAATAATTTTTTTCAATTTTTACGGCTATCGACTAAATTTTTGGCCGTTTTAAGCCCGATCGGTTAACCCCACTGAGACCCTCTTTTACGGTATTGAGTTTTAGTTATCTACACCCACTCGGATCGCACTACACTGCACGTGATACACCCCTGAAGGTTTCCTTTAACTCCCTTAAGCACGGCTGCGACGACACGGCAACGTCGTACTACAGAGCCCAGTTAGTGCCACCTAATGGCTCATCAAGTTTCTTTTTCACCACGTCAGTTTCTTTTACGGTGGACTTCAACTTTCTCCCGCATCACTTTTTTGGCACGATTTTTTCTCTTCTTCTTTTCCGGCACCACCTTCAGTTGGCACGACTTTTTCCGGCGTAACTTTTTTTGGCACGACTTTTCCACTTTCCCGAACAACTTTTTTGGCACGTCTCTCTTACTTCCTGATGCCCCGAATTGAACAATTCTTTCATCTATTTTACTTCAGCCTCCATATTATGTGTAGCCAGGATAATACAGTTTTTCCTAGCAAGCCCTGATAAGAGGGCAAGATTAACGCAAAAATGCTTTTAAATCACGGCCTTTGCTCATTCACAACGGCAAACAAACTTGTGAATGGCGCTGGCAGAACGATTCCGCCCAGGTTATCAGAGAAAAAGTGGAAAATAACATGAGATGCAAAAGAATCTCAGTGAGTCAAAGCCTAGACGAAAATAGCTTTCAACGATGTCATTACGTCCACAAGCAGGATTCACTTGCAATGTAGGAATATATTCCTACATTGCAAGTGAATCCTGCTTGTGGTTATTCTCGGTTTGCACTGTCACGCAATGAAAAATAAAAATGCAAACCATTCAATACAAAACGTCTGGAATCTGAGAAATGAAAGAAGATAAATATACAAAAAGCCTTGCCAAGAATCAGGTCTGTGCAATATTTCAAATGCGAGATATTCGGAAAAACGGTTTACCAAAATTTATAAAGCTTTGTTCGAGTTTTCCTACTAATGCGTGAATTCTTCGCTTGAGGAACCCATAAAGATGAAAGTAATATTTGTTCTGAGACAAGGAATGTTTAGATAGTAAAATCTCCCAAAATGTTTTTAACCCACATAAGGGCTCTCCCGGGGGGCTCTCCTGGTTGTCAGCTAAATGCTGCGTCACGAAAAAGCCTGGAAATTCAAGCGTCCTCTCTGACCCCTTTCGAACCAAAACTTTGTTTACCGATATAAAGGTGTTGAGGTGGTGTAATAACTTGTGAAAGTAGAAACTCAGAAGAATCGATAGTTACTCAGTTTGATTTTTGGTGACGTCGCGTGCAAACCAAGAATAGTTTTGGAAGCCTAACCCTCACTAGTCCTCGATTCAAGTAAGTAAGTAGAATGATAATGACAAAGACGGCGATCTTGAATTGGATTTACGTCTAAATCGACGAGAGTTAAGAATAGATGTGTGTGATAAAACAAAACGCTTCAAAAACTCATGCCGAAAAAAGTCGTGCCAAAAAAGTCGTACCGGAAAGTAATGCCAAACAATTTGTGCCAAGCAAATTGGAGTCGGCCGTTAACTGACGTAGTAAAACAGAAACTTGATGAGAAATTAGGTGGGACTAACTGGACTCCGTAGTACTTACTACGTAACGAGAAAGGCAAAAAAAAAAAGGTTTATTAGTAGAACAACGTCTTTTTTCCATACATGGCGCTTTTCTGTTTTTGCCGTCGTTGCACACTTCCTAATTTCCTGTTTCAGACAGTGATCATGAACGTGCTCTGCTCCTTAGTTCAGTAAACTCTTCCTTTATGACCTTTATCGCTGTTTCCGTGTCATCACTTACCGTTTTGGTGACAGGAACGTGATACTGAGTGCGTTTATTTAACCACGTGTCCAGGTTACTGACTGGAAGATATAAATAAAGGGTCAATTATAAGAGAAGACACAACATATCACTGAGAAGTAATCAGCAACACTGCAGACTGGGTTTTATAGCTTCGAGTACCTTTGAGGTAAAACGTCAACAGTATCTTTTCTCTTTAAGTTTAACTTTAATATTCAGACAAATTCTGTTTTCAATGTGTCATATGCATGTAATTATTGTTATTTATAGTGGAAACCCGCTCTATGGACACCCTTAAAGTTTGCAAGGAAACGCTTAGCCAGCGTAGCAGGCGCTTGGTGGGAAGTAGTGGGCGAAAGAGAGAACGCGCGCCCGCGAGGGAGACACGGAAGGGAGTGAGGGAGCTCCCTCTCCCCTCGCGAGTCTCTTCTCGAGCGTCCGGTTTTTTGTTTGTTTTTTTTTTTCCTTGTGCCCACTACTTCCAAGTGCCTGGTGGGGAGCGAGTTGAATCGTACGCAGCGAGGGCAAAAAGAAACACGAGGACAGATTTATCGGTTAAAATTACTAAGAGGAATTGGGAAGTACTATTAGATTATAATTAGCTACTCGTATTCCAGATTTTGTCTCAGTCATCATGATATGGGATAATAAAACCCCGATAATACAGGTCCCAAGTTTGTCCTTAAAACAAGTTTCAGTTCGATAACGGGGAGGTCATATTGAAAAGGGAAGGAAACGATGCGATTATTGCTGGTTTGTACCTTTTTCGTTCAAAAGTTCAACATAGAGAATTGTCGATCCTCCTGAGCTGAGTATTACATTCATAAAGTATAAGTGCAGATAAAACTAATATCCAGACAAATTTTTACTTCGATGGGGGTCTTTGTTTTGTGATGTAGTAGGCTTGAATTTCTATTAGTTAAGCTTTTGCTTGACGCTTTACACTTTAGCTGAGAGTAATTACATGACGGCAGAGAGAGCTGTGATGGACTAGGTAAAGAGAATGACTTACTTGGGGAATTTGCTATCTAAACAGTCATTGTATTAGAAGAAGGATCACTTTATGTTTACGAGTTCTTCCAAACTGAGATGAATTTAGTCACGCTTTCGTAGCAAACTGAATTGAACTCAGCCTTCTGTTGGTTTCCATCAGGCCTATCGATTTGCCATGCAACGTTTTTTGAAATAGCTGTATAACTCAGACAGTTAATCCATCTCGGCTGTAGTTTCAAATGAAATTTCTTCAAGCAGGTTCTGTTAATCTGCTTTCTTTTTGTTTTGTTTTTACTTTTCAGTTCCTGTTTCAATATATTTTTCATCATTTGAACTAACGTAACGTGAGGAGTAACGATGTTTCGCCTTCTTGCAGTGACTCTGCTCGTTGTCTTGCCAGTAATTTCGGGCACCTCGTGCAGGTAAAGTTCTATTGTCTATTTTTAAATAGGAGTTTAATGCAAAGAACCTGTTACATCTAAGTCACCGCCGAATGTGTGAAAAATAGCTATAATGTATCGATTGACGTAAATTGCAAGCGTCCAAGTGTTGAGTGATCGAACTTTCAAACAAAGTGATCGCCTAATTTGTCGAAAACACATATTAATTTAAAATCACTGACAAGACAAAACTAGAAGCGGTGACCGATTCCTATATCGATTGACGTAAATTGCAAGCGTCCAAATGTTGAGTGATCGAACTTTCAATCAAAGTGATCGCCTAATTTGTTGAGAACATATATTAAATTAAAATCACTGACAAGACAAAACTAGAAGCGGTGACCGATTCCTCTAATAAAAACACGCGCGAGGACGTAAAACTCAGACCCCCAGTTTGATATAATTTTCACCCTGATTCTTCTAGGGTGCTGCTCCAAGAGGGTGCGAATGGGGCTAACCGTTAACTGATATTTGACCAAAAAAAAATAGTAGTTAACTGATAATTGGCCAAAAAATTAGTAGTTAGCTGATAAATGAAAAGTTAACAGTCAAGTGATATTATATCAATGTTAATGAAAGCAACAAACGTTTTGCAAACAGAGATGCTGTTTTCGGACATTTTTCTGTCCGGCTGATGACCAGGTGGCACATTAATTTAACTTATTATTCATTCAAAATATTTCCCCAATTCTGATTGGCTAAAAGCACATGCATAATTCACCATAACCAGTTACTGATGACCAAATTTGGAAGAATTTTGTGTAGGAAATGACGTCAAAAATACAGCCTTCTACAGGTTATTGCACCGTTAACCGAGAAGACCTAGGGACGAGATTGAGTTGTTTTCGTTGCAAAAACTAAAATTGCGGCCACTTCACTCGTTTCAAGAGTAAGAACTACAGCTGGAGCTAGGCGAAATAATGGCTAAAAACATAGCTAAAACAGCAAGAAGACAACTCGGAGGGCGACATCTGCTATTTGGAGAATATTTGCGGAGCTGGACAAACCTAAACGTAAACTATCGAAGATAAACTTAACATCGATGCAGGTAAGCTTGTTTTAGCTATTTTTTTAAACTAGGAATTATTTTGAATGAATAATAAAACAAGTATTGAATTCGGCTTTCGTATCATATGAAGAATTATGGAATTCTCGGAGGATGTTATCGGCCTCGGCCTACGGCCTCGACAGATAACACCCCGCCTCGATCTCCATAATTCTTCATAAGATACTCAGCCTTATTCATTAATTTCTAGTTATATTACCGTGTGCAAAAGGCACACCAGGGCAGTACCCGACAAACAGAAATAAAGGGTAAGTGAAAGAGCTGGTTGTAGACAACTCAACGAATAATTCGTCTTCTGATATTAACAAGATTTCTGTCTTTGGAAAAGGAAAATACTGTTTTCACGGACCTAAAGATCGTCAAGTTAAACATTACCCAAATAAAAAAGCTCTGACTCTTAGCATTGGTTCTGCTGAAAAGAATCTCTGAGGGTTCAAAGAAATCAGCAGTCTTTCTTTCAAGTACATGGAATTTGTACTTACGACAAATCATTTTTGTAACTGATACTGCAGTTCTAACTATTGAGGTTTTTTTAATAGAAAGAAAAGCTCGTGTTTTAACAGGTCTTACTGTCTTACGGTCTTACAGTTTCATTTCTTAAAACCCTTGGAGATATCTTTATGAGGCTTTTGAAATATGCGAATAAGGTACACCTGCGAAAAAGCTAACATTGCGGGACGCGGAAGAGGGTGTAGACAAAATCTATATCGAGGTAAAAAAAA